ATTGCCACTTGAGGCGATTGCCTCAGGCTGCCTCATTATCAGGGTGGCTCTGTTGCTGGTAGCTCAAGACTACGCAGCTTTCATCACTTTCATCATCTTCCTGGATTCCCAGTGTGCTTTACATCTCTTTCCCTGCTGCTTGAAGTGATGCATTCTCATTTTCTCAACACTACATTTCCCATCATGCATTGCTTCCAGCAAGCAATTATAATGTTACATTGTTCAGACGTTGAGTTGTAGTTCAGAAGGCAGGCTCATAGAAGCGCATATTTACAGGGCTGAGTCAAATGGCGTCAGTTCATTGAGAAAGTCCATCCTATGAGCATCTACTATAAGTAAGTTTACAAACTTCTAGATAGATCTGGTTATGAGGAGTGGGATAGAACGCATGGAAATTCAATATAGAAATACAGATTTATTTGTATTTTTTGACTATATATACCTTAGGGTGACGGAAGGACGCTAGTTTGTGTCCTCCCGTTACCCTAAGGAAAACTATGGAGAAAAGCCTTAACCCCATAGTTCTCCTTTAAGGAATAAATAAAACTGCAATATGTGTGGGAAAAGCCGGTTAATATGGTAGGATGATCTTGCCATTGGGGTTCTCCATAGTGGGCCCATTCATGACACACATACCTTCCATTTAATATCTGGAGAGCACTGCGCCATCTGTTTTACCTTTCATAGGTGAATGCTCCATTCAAGGAAGGAATATACATGAAGGCTTCCACTGCTGAGCTGTATTTATGAAAATGCTATCTGCCCGTGTATCATGCTTCTCCTTTGGCTTCAATGCTTCCTGACTCCTGAGTCATTGACCCAGAAACAGTATTCAGATCAAGAGTTCAGGCTTGCTTCAGTGATTGCACTCTTGTTTTAGGTTAGAAAATCAAGAAGTACTGAAACTTTATCTGTAACGGTACCAAAGCCCAAACTTTTTCTTTTTGAAAGGGGTGGTAAGGGGTTAGGTTGGTCCTCGCAATCACTATTTCCAGTTCTAATAGTGATGGACAATCCGAAATTCTGTGTTGTCACCAGAACAGA